GGTAGAGCAGAAGATCGACTGAATAGGATGGATCGAGATTCCTTTTTAAAAAAAATCATCATGGTCATAAAAAGACAACCTTTCATTAAAAAACTGTTCTATTCAAGTTTGTATGTCTGTTCTTAGCGAATACAGGACCCTATCCAAGACAAGGGAAAGTGTTTATTTGTCTAGATGTGCTGTCTATAACGTCGTGGTGTTAATGAAGTCAAAGACAGATAATGATTATTATCAAGCAACTGTTGGCATTCGGAAAGAAGAAGAAGGAGACCTTTTATTGCCAATACCAAGAAACTTACTATACAAAGTACTACCAGGTAGAAACTTGCAATCTTATTCTAAAATATGATCTCAAGCACACAATTATCCAAATCTCATCGAAACTGCTATTGTGCAATTCAAGTGGAGTTCAGGTTCAGCTCTTAATCAAATTTATATTTTATTTGTTTTGTTTTACTGGTGCACAAACTATCTAAACTAACTATGGGTTAGATGTACATGCTGCATGAATCATGTAGGCCCATAGMCTTAGGAACTCCATCATTCTCAAAAACTCTCTGCTAACTCTAAATCCATGTCAGTTCTTTGGAATCTCGGTTGAAGTCCTTCTGCTCCTTGAGTTGTAAGACATAGTTCATTTTTTATGAATTGTAAACTGATTTGTATGTAAGATATTATTAATTATACATTTCGTTCGAAAAGTATCAATGTAAGTATATTCCCCGTGAATATATAGTTCACTCAGCTTTTTGWTTTTTTTCAGAGAATAGAACATTTTCAATTTCTTTTAATGGCACAAGAACGTTTGCGGTCACTGTGGGAACTACTGCTAGAGTATTAGGTATTAAGTCATGAAACTTTGTTGATTAATCCACTAAAGCCAGTATTATGCTTAGTTATATTGCTAGAAATATATAGATGCACAAACGTTGATCCAAATAAGCCGTTAAATAGCAGATTTACGTGTGCTCTACCTTGATAATGGCCGCTTAGGACGAAAGCTCGGTATTAAAAATATTACTAGTAAACGCAGAGGACTCATTTATTTTTAGAAATAGCAGATTGTTCTGATTTGGCAAATTTAATATTCAACAGTTTCCTATAGATATTGCTGTGATGGTTGGACCTGCCCAAATTGCACACTGCATCTATTCGATGAGAAAAACAATACATTAATCAAAACAATTCAAGAAATCTCTTGCAAACAAGAAACATTTTCATGGATGGTGAAAAAACAGCATAAGATTGGGAAGCATCCTTTGAAGGTATATAACTTTTAAAATATATACTTATCACGGGCTAAACAAAARTTACCAAAATTAAATGATTTTATAATTACTGTAACATTGTATGAAAAAATGGATTACATATATTTATTGAAATCAAATCTTAAAAAAAAACTTTTAAAATGAATACAGTTGTATTTAAACCAATATAGTTATCCCCTTATATTCTATWTTCAATATATTCTTTGTGTTGAGCCAAAAACCAATACCAGCTCGTGTTAGCTTCCTTGCTGCATTTATAATATTTACATCAAATCACCACTCAATTCCAAGCTTCACTGAATGTTCGATGATAGTTTAGTTAGATGTTATTTTTGGAAGATAATTATGCCTATCGATTCTCTTTAGATTTCATATGAATGGCCTTCCAAATTGAAAATCTCTAACTCCGTTGGAGCAATG